ACTACTACTACTACTACTACTACTACTACTACTACTACTACTACTACAGTACTACTACTACTACTCCTACTACTACCACTACTACTACTACTACTACTACTATAATACTACTACTACTACAGTACTACTACTACAGTACTACTACTACTACTACTATTACTACTACTACTACTACTACTACTTCAGTACTACTACTACTACTACTACTAGATGGCCGGCCGGCTGGCGGACGAGCCGGCCGGGCGCTAGTTGCCTGGGCGACCCGCCGGCCGGCGGCGAAATAGCAGGCCAGGTTGCCCGCCTGTCCTATATATATATATATTAATCCTTTTGATCCAAGACCAGGCCCAACCTCATTTTTGCTTTCACGTCAAATCCACGACCCTTGTTTGATCCTGTTTGTAGTTGCATTTTCAAGTAGCAAAGGGGTTTTCGCTTCCTCCAAGAGGCTGGATGGGTGAACCTGGCAGCTCAGGAATTTCTATGCCCGCCTACATGGTGCGCCTGGTTCTGCGGCCTGCTGATGCTGTGCGCGATGACCTTCGATCGGCAGGTGGGCCTTGCTGGTTTATGCTTGAGCCTGCTTGAGCGTCAACCGTTTCCGAGCAGGAAGATGTCGCGTGCAATCACAAACTTGTACAGGAAGCTGATTACTGTTGAAAGCAACAGCACTTGCATGACACTTCTATAGTCTATCCGGCTTCTTGACAGAGCACTCGGTACCAGTACGCTTAGTTGTACTATAGTCTACTATACTGTAGTAGACCAACGTATATCATAGTATATCAGAATCATAGTATCATTTTTTCCCGTTGTCCACGGGCTTGGCCAATGAACGCTTGGTTTGACTTCTGAACTGTTGCCGCAAGAAGACTCTTAAAGGCTCAAAGAACAGTGGTGCATCCTGAAACCTCCGGAAACCCTCCGCTCAACTGATGGCCGAGCTATTCGCTCCCAAAAGTTACGTGGACGAGGAGTTGGCAAAGCTCAGCAGTGTGCTGGCTGAGGTCAAGTCCCAGGTGCAAAACCTGCAGCTCCAGATCAATGGGAACAATGTGGGTGACCTTGTTTCTCGCCAAGACGAAGCTTTTTCAATCGCGTAGATGGAGAGGTTTCAAGCCTCAGCCTCGAGCCGAGGGATGTCATGAGATGTTTGGTTTCCATGAGTTTCTTGTCTCACTGTACTAGTTTCCAAAAGCCCAGGTCTCAGTTACCTTGGAGGGCTGGACCAAGAAGAGTAGAGCAGAAGTCGAGCATGAGGGAGATGGGAGCATGCAGATTCACGTGATCTCACAAGAACCGAAAGCTGGTCTTAAAAAAGTAGAAGCGGGTGCCGAAAAGGACTTGCAGGAGGAGCTGATCTGCTTTGACCGAAAAAGTGCTTGGTCAATTCCCTTGGTCATCTCTTGGAGCAACTTTTCTGAGAGTGTCTTTGCCTGCGCGCTCCTCATTGTGAATATCGCCATGCAGAGTCTCTTCACTCTCATTATCGCGTCTCCAGAGTTCCTTGGCACAGACTTCTCAGACAATCTGGAGACCGCGCGTGTGTGGCGCAGTAGTGCTGCGCATGATGTCCAGTTCGTCGACCTTTCAGGGAAAAGCTTGGCGACCAGGGTATGCGATGAGGATGGATCTTTGATCTACTCCACTGCACAAGCCGCATTGGTCAGCAGCATTAACAGCTATCTTGGTCTTGGGAAACTTGGGCCAGAGGGGTTTTCCGTGACATCCTTTCAACCAGGTGTGCTGCTGGCAGTGCTTTGCATTCTCCTTTGGATCATTTGCATCGTCCGGGAGTTGCGGAACGTGTGGTATGTCTTACAAGCGGTCTTGTTCGGTGGCACGGCCCAAGTCGGTCAAGGCGGGGAAGGCGTGCAAGTGTCAGGACGGCGGGCTGCCGCTATGAGCTTGGTATGCCTTGGCCGAGCAACGGTGGCTTGTGCACTCTTGGTGTCAGGAACCTTGTGGCTATCACGCACAACCTCCATCACTGAGCTTATCCTCAACTGTGTGGCGCTCGAGGCGGTGTTGCACGTGGATGAGTTTATCTTCTCTGCCTTGGTGCCCACACAGCTTCAGCAGCAAATCCAAAGGTTGCCTCCAGTAATGATGAGGAAGAGCAATCTATGGCCTCGCGTGGAGAACCTTGTTCTTGCTGTCATCCTTATGGCCGCACTTTCTCTGCCATACTTCTTGCTCTTGTCACCCCTCACAGATGACATGCTTGCGGTGAAGACAGAACTGTGTGGAGGAACTCTCACGTTTGCCGTGGGCATGAACAATCAAGTGGTTGCCCACTCGCCGACCAACGGCCCCGGCTTTGATGTGAACCAAACGTACGTGCAAGCCGCGACCATGTACTACGCCTTTCCGACAGACTCTTCAGAGAAGCTTGTAACTCCTCTCAAATTCCCGCATATAAGCAGCCTGCGAAATTGGATGCCCATGAGGTATGACGAGTGGCTCTACGATTACGACCAATGCCACAGACATGGAAAGTTGGGCGTAGACTTCTCACTCTTCCTCTCCGCGGCAGCTTTTGCAGCTGGCGTTCCAGCTTTGCAGAGTTGCCAGGAGAGCTATTTTGGACTATTTTGGGGTTTTGGGGTTTTAGGGGTTTAGGGCTTTGTAGATCACCTGAGTAACTTGGGGCTTTATCAGAACATGCACTTTCAATGAACCTACACGTTGCGTTTGGGTTTGTGCTTTGTGCAGGAGCTGAAGTGGATCTGCAGCGAGGATGCTGACCTGCAAGTTTTCGTGAGTCATGCAGCAAGGTGGTTGCGAGTCGCTTGCCCAGATGAGTGCGGTTGTACGGATCCCTTAGCAACGCCACTCTTGAAGCCTCCCTTCCACGGGTGCCGCGAAGCTTGCATCCAAGAAGCCTACGGATTCAGCTTTCAATCAACAAGTCCCCTCTATGGCAATGTGCCAAACTTCACCTTGGGATGCAAGGATGCACCACCTGGGCCAGGCTGGCGACACTTCTGGGACCACTACCTCGCCTACATCTCCTACGAGACCAATTTCGACTACTCTACAATCCAGTCGCTCGTAGACTGGGTGGCCTATGCGCGAGATGCAGGTTGTGTGGCCTTGCAGTGGTTGCCATTGGACATGCAGGGCAACATGTGGTGCAGAGGCGGCGAAAAATACCGGTCCCTGGCATGGTTTTGCCCAGAGACCTGTGGCTGCGCAGTCTCGGGAAACACTGAAACTGGGTCATTGTTGAAGAGCGTTTTACTATTTTTGTGTATTTATGGATATATTAGAACCAACAGAATCATTTTAAATGCTATCCCAATTATGGTTCAGGAAAGGGACCACTTTTGCTATGCCTATGACCATTGCCCAATGCACGTGTTGCCCAATGAAACCGATGCCTTCTGGTTGCTGGTGCGGAAGTATGACTTACTGAAGCCTTTGTTGAATCCACAGCTTTTGTCTGTAAGATTTTGATCTTGAGCTACTGATGTTCACCGTTTCACCAACTGCAGCTACTGGTTGCTTTGAATCACTGGCTGCAGGTGGCGGGTCGGTGTGTCTGCATCCCTTCCGACATGGAAACGTCGAGTGTGGGGATTTTTCCCTTTTATGGAACATCAACAGCTCGATGCTCAGCGCTCATCGAGCAATAGATAGAAGCAGAGCTGGTAAAACCACCTGCAAGAGGCATGGGCGTGTTGAAGGACAAATCTCGGACCTTGTGCGCATTTCCCACTGCTTCTGCTTCTTGTGCACGGGCGACGATTGGAATTCTGAAGACGTCGCTGTGGGGTCGCTGGCGCAGGCCTTCGGCCGGCTTCCGAAGCTGGCCAAGCTGGAGCTGTACCTTCACAACTGCAAGCTCGGCCGGGGGCCGCAGGGTGTAGCTACCTTCGCTCCAGGGTCTCTATGTGTCTCCACACATCTCTAACACATACCTTTCTTTTGCCCCTTTCTTCGTGTCGAGGTGCGGAAGGGGGCCGCCGCGCTGGCCTGCACTTTGGGAGCTCGGCCAGCAACAAGCTGGAAAAGCTTGGAGTTTTTGGGCTGGATCTTTGGCTGACAGCAATGCAAGCGGTTCCCATCCGTTCCCCCATCGTTTCATCAATCCTGTGACTGAAACGCATCGTTTTTGTAGATTGGGGTGCTCCAGTGACTCGGCAAAATAACCGCAAAGCCGTGGACCACTGGATGTTGACATTAATTTTCTACAAGAGCCGCCTATAAACTCCCTCGGAGGTCGGTGCAGAATCACACCGCAGATGCCGAAATCTTTGGTGAGATGCAGTGACAAGCATTCTGAGAAGCTCTTTCAAGTGTGGGCTTCCTGACCCCTCGTTCAAGATTGGCTCGGATTTTCAGTGATCGATCACTATCTAGCTCACGAAGTTCTTGTTTAGAAAGCCCCAACCACGATGTCACGACATGCGGCGCCCGGAATTTTGTTGATGATTTTCGCACCGCCTCAGCGGCCGCAGTTTGCTTGCGGGTTTCGCTAGTGCTCACAATCACCAGAGTATTCGGACCATGATAAGCACAAGCACAGTACAACATGTCCCATGTCTGCATTTGTTTGCAGCAAGTACTGAAGAACCGTCTCCACTTCGCAGATGTCAGGGGTTTGGGTTTTAGTATTCTTTAGGGGTTTGGTTGAAACTAATGAACTGTCAAGACTTCTTTGAGCTATTATAAAGGCTGTTGGATGCCGTCAAATTGGGCCGTTCCCAATGAAGGTATCACATGGTAAACACATTTTTTCAAAGGTGGAACCCACTTCTTGCAGTGGTAAGGAGGTCCCTCTCCCAAGCGACGACCCAGAGAAGCTTGCTTGCTTGTGGTTTGACCTATATATATATATATTTATAAATCCTCTTGGTCCAAGACCAGGCCAACCTCATCTTTGCTTTCACGCCAAATCCACGACCCTTGTTTGATCCTGTTTGTAGTTGCATTTTTCAAGTAGCGACGGGGGTTTCGCTTCCTCCGAGAGGCTGGATGGGTGAACCTGGCAGCTCAGGAGTTTCTATGCCCGCCTACATGGTGCGCCTGGTTCTGTGGCCTGCTGACGTTGTGCGCGATGACCTTCGATCAGCAGGTGGGCCTTGCTGGTTTATGCTTGAGTCTGCTTGAGCGTCAAACGCATCCGAGCAGGAAGATGTCGTTTGCAACTTGTACAGGAAGCTGATTACTCTTGAAAGCAACAGCACTTGCATGACACTTCTATAGTCTATCCGCCTTCTTGACAGAGCACTCGGTACCAGTACGCTTAGTTGTACTATAGTATACTATACTGTAGTAGACCAAAGTATATCATAGTATATCAGAATCATAGTATCTTCTTTTTTTTTCCCGTTGTCCACGGCCTTGGCCAATGAACGCTTGGCTTGACTTCTGCACTGTTGCCGCAAGAAGACTCTTAAAGGCTCAAAGAACAGTCGTGCATCCTGAAACCTCCGGAAGCTCTCCGCTCAACTGATGGCCGAGCTATTCGCTTCCAAAAGCTACGTGGACGAGTTGAAAGCCGAGCTGGCTGAGGTGAAGTCCCAGGTGCAAAACCTACAGCTCGAGATTTCAAACAACAATGTGAACAATGGGAACGACCTTGTTTCTCGCCAAGATGAAGCTTTTTCATGCTTTTCAAACTTAAAGGTGGAGAGGTTTCAAGCCTCAGCCTCGAAGCCGAGCGATGTCATGAGATGTTTGGTTTCCATGAGTTTCTTGTCTCACTGTAC